CTCAGCGTCGGGCCTGCGACGGGCGTCAGCCTGCCACTGGAAGGGGTGGCCTGTGAGGAGAAGCGCCCACCGCAGAGCCAGGGTGGGCCAGGGCTGCACGTGCGGCACGTCCAGCCGTCTGGCCTGCGGCCAGCACTGAAGGCCGGTCTCACGCCCACAGGACACGCGGGAGCCCGGGCAAACAGGAGCCTGCACCCCGGAGCCGCCCGTCGCCACTGGTCACCGGGTTACCCCTGCTTAGAGCCCTAAACTGGCTTTCGGGAAACATGCAGTAGGTGGGGGAAGACCTGGGGCAAAGCCTAGCCTGCAGGCATCAGTACAGTAGGGCTCCCCTCCCTGTGGGTGTGGGTGCAGCCTCGCCTCACCTCACAGGGGGGCCCGGCCCCCAGGCATGCAGGAAGACTACTCTAAGGGGTTCCCCAGGGAAAGGGGAGGTTCCAAGTTCCTGCCCCACCCAGAGGAGGGTGGAGCTGATGGGGAGGAGAGGAAGCTGGAGGGAGACTGTGGAGGAAGGAAGCAGGATGGGAGCAGGAGGCCTGGGGCTCCGGCTCCTTGGCCCTGGCCGGGCTCAGGCGTGGGGGAGCCCCGGGGAGGTGACCATGGCAGCGTGTATCTTGGCCGGGATGTCGCCCTTTGCCTCCCAGACGTGTCTGGCCACTGCTGACCCTTTGCCATGGGTCCCGCCGGGAAGTGCCTTAGGCTTGGGCAGGCTCGGGCCTTGCTTGGAATTTTACCCCCAGGGAGGGCGACGTCATGCTTGATTTAGAAACTCTATTCTTTGTCTTTCTGTGCTGCACAGGTTGTATTAAAGTTCCTCTCCCTTCAAGCTGTCACACGTTTTGTCTTGATGCAGCAGAACCTATTTAGAGCAGGCAGGTTTGGGGGTGCAGGGGTGCCCCGCTTCCTGCCATGTAACAGAACTAGGAGCCCAGAGTTTCATATTTATTCCGAACTGCGCCATCCAGACTGTTGCCTGGAGATGCGACATTCAGAAACCCACAAAGGTGACAGTTGTGTGGGGCCGCACGAAGCGGCCGCAGCAACGGGACGAGGCCAGGCCAACGCCCCGCAGCCAAGCAGCCGCGGCCTGGCCCCCTAGTTAAGCTCTTTGACTTCACTTCTAAAAGGGGCGGTGTGTGCGTGTCCCTGTAAGTGTCCACGAGGGTGAGACACCCTCTCCGTAGCCGGGGCCACACCTGGGCGAGCAGGTGCTAGCTTAACACGGTCACTGCTCACCAGATGCTTTCCCCAGCGTGGTGCAAAGCACGGGCCAGGCACACCAGCAAGCCGGAGCCTGGGGGCACGGGGGGGCGGGGGGGAGCAAAGGGCGTGGTCATACTCACCCCCAAGACCCCAAAGCGTTCGGCCAGGCTCCAGCCGCACAGAAAGTCAATCTCGAACTTGTGGTTGAGAACCACGATGGCGTTTTCCTTCCCGAACTTGGGGTAGGCCTGGGGGTCCGTGTAGATGACGCAGTCCGTGCCCGACCACCACTCCAGCAGCATCACCAGCTCTGGAACGAAGCACAGCACACGGGCTCAGTGCGGCCCCGGCCGCTCAGGCTGGGCAGCGCCGCCTCCGGCCAGCCCGTGTGGAAACGGCTTCCGGGAAGTTCTCGCCCCACTCAGCCCAGCCCCGGCGCTTGAATGGGCTTAGGAGCAGAAGGAAAAAGCGAAAGGGCCTCGAGAGGGCTGGGGCTCCTCGGCCAAGCGCCTTGCGGGACAGGACGGAGACTCAGGCCTGTCACGGAGCTCGAAGGCTGCACAGAGCCCTCACCGGCTGCACCGGCGGGCGGGCGCGTCCAAACTCCACCCAAGGACACTAAACGCCCGCTTCTCTGCCACTTCGGGCGCCCGAGCGCAGGGAAGTCCTGCTCTCAGAGGAGCGGAAACCCCAGCGCCCGGAGGCCGGGACCAGCCGCGCTGGGAGCCAGGGAGGCAACTGGGGGTGCTCTGCGGGGGCAGGGGACGAGAGCGGTCCGCGCCGTGGACAGTCACCACCGGTTGCTCCCTGTCCTTCGGGACACGGCCGAGCCGGCCCCAAGGCCGCGGGGTGTGCGGGGACTGCCCAGGGCAATGGGCTGTGGGGTGAGGCCACAGCAGCTGGGGAAGGGGCCGGCGCGGCGGCGAGTCCTCTGATGGTCCAGTTAGTCGCCAGCTAGCGTGGGCCGTGCCGTGGGCACGCTGGTGTGCACGCTGGTGGGCACGCTCAGCAAAGGCCTCGCTCTAGCACCTCACACACACCTCCCTGCACACCTGCACAGGTCTGCAGGAACCACGAACTCCTGTGCAGACTGACAGCCAACGCACAGACGTGCGCGCGCCTGCAGACATGACGCACACGTGCCCGCCACACAAACGCACCTGGGTATTTGTGTGTGTGCAGCACAGGCATGTGCACAGACGTGCATTTTCGGGTCCACACACCCAGCACGTGAGGCCGGGGGGGCCTGCTGGCTCCCCTGAGCCTGGTCTTTACTCCAGGGCCGGCACGTCTGTGCTTCCCCCAGGACATCTTGGGCCCGAGGGCCTGTGATGCAGCGGCGCTGGCAGGTGCCCAGGCAGGCATGGGGCAGGGAAGTGTGTCCCAGGCATGGCCAGGTCAGCGCTGTGGACGCAGCCGAGGTCCGACCCTGGCAGCGCTGCCCGGGGGGTGAGAAGGGGCTTCTTTCCCAAGGTCCCCCGCCTGTCGGCATCCTTGTCTGGGCAGTAGCGGGGGAAGCTACGGGGCGCGGGGTCAGGCGCGAGGCTGGACCCCAGGCCCGCTGCTGCCTGGGAAGCCGCTGGCCTGTGCTGTGTGTGGCCGAGGCTCTGTGAGCACCGGGGCGAGGGGAAGCGGCGGGGGAGCGAGGCGGAGACAGACTGTTACCTCCCTCAGAAGCGTCAGGGGTTAGACTGATGGCTTCACCAAAAGATGATGGGAGGCCCTCGCTGGTGGCGCAGCGGGTTAAAATGCAGCACTGCAGGCTGGCCGGGGCCACCTCAGTGCAGAGTTCGATCCCCGCCCCGGAGGTGACCCCAGGGCGTGGCAGACCTCTCCCGACCCGCCCGCTGCTCCCCTCAGCAGTGTACTTAGTTTGATCTGCCTGTTCTGCTCCCCACTCTGTCTCTGGTGAAGCCTCTCACCGCCCCTGCACCTCTGGCCTGTACCCCAGCTCTGTATGCACAAATAAATAAATCTTAAAAAAAAAAAAAAGGCCATGAGAAGTCCCTGGAGCATTTTAAAACAGGCACACAAAGTGCCTAGTTTGCATCTGGAAGCGTCACTCTGACTGAAGGGGGCAGGAGGTCGGGAGGGGCGTGGCCCCAGGGCAGCTGCCGCTTGTCTCATGGCCCCTCCCTGGCAGAGTTGCCTCCCCGCTTCCCTCTTTTATTCTCCAAACGTTTTGTTTTCTTTTTCGAATTCACAAGAAATGCTGCAGAATTCTGCAGAATTCAGACAGAGCGTGACCTTCCAGACTGGGCGGCCGGCACTGGTTTCCCAGAAGCCCCTTCTGGTTTGTGTTGGGTGAGGGAGGCTCACCAGGGCCAGCCTTGGGGAGCTGGCGGCTGGCAGCTCACAGGCTTGATCTGCTGATTCACCCAGGCCCTGAGGCAGCAGCTGGGCACCACCGGCTCCGCCCACCCGTGTGGGCTGCTGGGGACCAGGCTTCAGCAGAGGCCCCAGTCAGTCAGCCCCCCAGGAAGTCAGGGCCCCACGGTCAACTCAGCGCCCCCCCCACACCAGCACCAGACACCACGGGGCGGCTCCAGAGGCTCCTCCCCGGCCGCAGGTCTCACTGGGCTCCCCCATTTCCCGCCTGCACCCCGCCTGCCCTGGAGCTGCAAGCTGTCCAGGGACAGCCGGAGCAGCCCTCTGGCCCGTCCCTGCCACCCGGTTAGACCCCGCTGCTGCTGTCTTTGCAAGTGGAATGTTCTGGACCTCCGCACGCTAAGAACACACACGGACGCGGAGTATTCACCGAGCTCTAGCGCGTGCTGGGCACTGTCCAGGCCCGGGGCCGAGGAGCGGAGGGCACAAGCCGGGTCCAGGGCCTGCAGGTTTCTGGTCCGGCACAGCCCGGCACAGCGCAGCTCCGGGTCTGGGCAGCGAGCGGTGCAGGCTCCCGTGGACACGTCCCTCCGGGACACTGCCCGACACGCCGTGGGCGCGGGCAGGGCCAGCCAGGCAGGGTGCGCCGCACCTGTCCACCCCTCCCCACGCTGCCCGCCGCTGCCCTGCGGCTCTGCAGACCCAGCTGAGGCGGGCGGGTGGCCGGCCGCCCTCTCCTGGCCCTCACCTGTTTCTGCGCCCAGCTGAACCCCGGGGCGCTCCTCTGCCGCTGGGGAATGCCACGGCCGGGGCAGAAGGCCGCCCCCCACCCCCAGGGGCCCTGGGCCGCAGCTCGGCAGCCCCCATCGGAGGCACAGGAGGGATGGGGGGACGGCCCTCGCGATGCAGTTACCTCGCTTTAATAATTACCCAGCTACGCAGATAATTATACGCCATTTACAAGCCGCGCCTACGTGTTTATAACCGTTTTTTGTAATTTAACTTCAGCTAATAGCCGGGTTTAAAATTAAGTCTCCTCCTCAAAACCCTCCCAAGG